CTGCAGATCATCAGCAGGCGCCGGGAAGATGGACAAAACGTGACGTAATGTAGTGTTTCTAACCATTTCTCCATCTTTATCAGTACAGATATGCTCCAGCAATGGCTTTAAGATAATGGTAATGTAATAAAATAATTGCTTTAATGTTGGTTCCAGGTGAAATCAGTTTTCTTTTATGATGACCTCTCCCTTAGTGCCCCATAAAAAAAACTTCAACTTCTAATTTTTCAGCTTTAAATATTTCTGCTATTCATGATTTTGGGATGAATAAAAAAAGGTAAAATGCTAGTTAGAATCATTACACCAGAAAACATATGCCAGCTCAACATTTCTATGTGTACATTAGATTGAGACTGGACAGTATTGTGCTGAGTGTCGCTCACCTCCTTTCAGATCTTCCTCGTCGAACGGGAACGGGATGTGAACAGTTTCTCCGTGACCGTACATCCCGTGGCCCTGAGGGTGAACAGCAGCTGTCACTACACACGACTAAACATCATTTATCAAAAACTTAGCTTCACAACATGTGGCAAAATTAAAGGGTTACCAGAAATTAGTTTCTTCTTTCTAGTATTTTCTGATGCATTTTTTGTCTGTTCTAAGAAAAAATCTAGGAAGCTCTGCTAAATCTCTATTTAAACTCTGTATTTAGCCTTTAATTTTTCATATTTTGAATTTCAAGCAGCCCTCTGGAGCTTTGAACTCTCTATTCCTCATATATGAAAAGAGCAAATATTCACAAGGAAAGAGCACTTATGATATCAGTGCTATCAAGATAGCCTGCAAAGGAGAAATTGTGCTAAACGCACCTGAATTAGAACAGCAGAGTGTGTGAGCGCATCATTCAGCATCATCAGCACGTTGGACGTCGGGACGACTCCGGGGTCATGACCCCAGGAAGTGATCAGCAGCCTGTCATAACCCTGAGGAGAGAGAAGAAATCAATCAACAGGCTTTTAAACAACACTAACCAGCTGCTGGAGAACATTAATGTAAAACAAAAAAATGGTCAATAATCGTAAAAGTAACATAAACTCCAACAAATGTGCAAATCCAGAGCGTTTGCATGACGTGAATGGGTTAAATATTCTTTAAAGGAGACATATTATACCCTAGTTCCCTGGTGTCGTAATGTAATGTCTGTGACGAGCTTTGGTCAAAATCCCATAAGGATGGAGCCCAATAGCAGTTCAGTCCCCCTGCCTAACCCTAACCCTAACCCTAACCCAAAACAGCCCCGTTCAGAGCGCTCGCTTTGGAGTGCCTGTCTCTTTAAATGCAAATGAGACACAGCCAATCCACCCACTTCTTCAGGGAGGTGTGCCCACGTCGGCACGCTAACGCTACC